ACCACAACACAACCAGATCCCGCAATAGGAATTTTCCTTTCCAGTAATTTTCTTTTTTTTAGAAATACTAAAAAATTATATTGCTTTCTTCTATTAAATCAAACTAAAAAATATCACAATAACTAAACAAATACACACGTTGGTTATCCTTCATGGTTAAATAGGGTGGAGATAACCAACATTTTTGCCCCTCCTTAGGAGTTCTTACTCAAACAACAAGCATTTTACTGTGTTTGAGTGGAAACGCTAATGACACAAGGTTGGTAGAGAAGCAGAACATGGTAGAATATCTGGTACTGTAATATTAAGATGTTTTTTCAGTCCGGATGCAAAATCAAAGTAGAAGCATCAGCTTACAAGGCAAATAGACAAAAAGAATCATTATTTTCCACAGGAAAATGGGAACTCGAACAGAAATACATCCCATGATAACAGGATTCAACGTGACATTATTGGCAGCTGCAACTTGGTTTACATGGAATATGGAGATCATGAACCTTGGACTTTATATCATGATAAATCTATTGGCTGTTTTCTAAAGTTCATGAGATTTTTACTGTTTTCGTTTTGTCCTTCAAAGAATAAAAAGCTGTAATAAGTCACAGAATAATTGTCGAAGAACAAAACTATCAGCCAGGCTGCAATACAAATGGAGATGAGAGGCATCTGTGTTCTTCAAATGAAATTTCTAATCTAACTGCTGCATGTAGTAGTTCTATAATGAATAGGTCAATGGCAAGGAAACATTATTAAAAAAAAAACAATGTAAATTACATTCTGTCTATTGATTCTGATTTCTCGAGATGTGAGTTAGTAGGGAAACTATACGGAAGAAGAAACATTTTATGAGAATTACAATCATAAACATGTACCCTTATTTGTTAGGGCAGACAGTACTAATAATAATGCACTTCAAATAATGCAGAACTACAATTACCATGATGCTCTGCCCATGCCTTTCACAAGGCCTAGATCTGCCAAGACAAACCTGACATTGAAATTCTCTTCCCTGTTCCCTGATTGTTTTATCTGGTGTATCATTTCTCGAGACCCCATAGAAAAATACCCCAAAAGATATATTCTGGGCTGTGTAATGCAATTTCACAATGTATTGGCTTATGTGAGCGAGCACTTATGAGATACTCTTTGTGGCTCTAGGACACTGACTGTCAAACACATCAGGGTGACACCCCGAACCATTTAATATCTGTTCCCACTCACCTCCATTCCAACTTTCATATCTTGCACTGTTGGTAGACTTGTCAGCTAGTTGCTATCAGCTTACCTACAGCTCTGTTCATGTTTATTTCTGAAAGGAGCAATAAATGGAGCAATGACATAGACTCTTCTTGGAGATTGGAACACATACAGCATACACCTCCGCTGCAGGCGGAGACCATACAAGTACAAGTATCATACACCATACAGGTGGACACCATACCAGCCAGGCGAACCATAGCTTCCTTCTGTGACATATTTGATTGAGAGGGTGGTATTATTACTGCAGCAAGTTTTCTCATTTCTTGAGGTTATAAAAAACGGTGTGAAGTGGAGCATGGAACCACTGGCACCATACGTTATCAGTGGAGCATAGGTAGTTACATTGCTTTTAGTATCACATATGTTACAATATATTCATAAATACTGCAAAACATATGTATCAGGAGATATGTGCATTCATTTTCTATTTTCATCTAGACAATTTACATTAGCAAAAATGATAAAAAATGATTACTATAACAAAAATTATCAATATACACTATAACAGACATAGACATCATGATGCTACAAGCTGTCAAACTACAGCCCCCATAATGCTTTGCCGGCCTGATCTATTATGTTTCTGTAAAAGCAGTGAGATTGAAATTCTCCTGTGAAGGTTAGTTTTATCCCACGATTTATGATACGGAATCATCAGCTGCTGCGTAATACGTGTATCTGAATTGCTCCACCTTGTGGCCACATTGATAGAAAATAAATACAGAAAACATCCCGCAATAGGATAAATCCTATTTTCCTTTCCAGTAATTTTCTTTTTTTAGAAATACTCAAAAATTATATTGCGGGGACAGAGACGCCTTTGAGATTTTAACTATTTAGTGTGTTTAAATATGTCCATTGCTAAGGGTACCTGCAGAAATGCAATATGGAGTCTGAAACACAATGCCTGTCTGTGCTCATTTGCATGTCAAGCTAGGAACTCTGGGATAGTTGTTGAAACATGATTCACCCAAGGAGGCCTTCTGATAGTCCAACTTGAGATATGCAGGTGATGTATGACAGTCAGTTTTCTGAAAGAATCGTAGCTAGACATACAGATTGACCTTGTTATAAACTATAATATGCTATTTTTATTTCACAACGCATTTAAAGAGAACCATTAATGGGGTAGTGCCTGCGTGGACATCAAGTTGCAAAGAAAGACTGAGTTTATGAACTGGAGGCCTGTGCAGTTGCAGATAGATCATGGGCGCTGTCAAATTCCTCACTTTGAAACACCATTAGAAATCAACGAGACAATAAATTAAAGTGTCTCGGCTGGACAGGTAAAGCAGCGACGACACATGAAATAAGCAAGATAATGAATAAAGAAGGCAAATGTGAACATTAATATAAATGCTGAGATTTGCAGAAAAGCAGAATTTGGAATGAATTAAGCAGCTCGGAAAAAGAAAGTATGGTTTTCTCAAGGGCACAAAGAGATAGAACGGACAATAGCATTATGAATGAAAAGCAAAGGTTTTGGCTTGGAGCCCAGTCTAAGAAATGTTATTTAAGAAGACGACAATGTTTTATAGTTATAGCTACAGTCAAGCAAAGATAGATATCTGTAATGGTTAAATTAATCAAAACAAAATATATGATTCATTTGAATTATTTATCGCATCACTGCTCTTAGTCTATAGATAAAACAAAAACCTGGTAACTAAGTGCATCGAGAAAAGCATTCCTTTTTATTACTACGCTAACGAGGTGTGATACAAGCTTTCGGTTAATATGAGAACGTTAAAGGGTTACTGCAACCACAACCACTCCAGTGATTTAGAGTGGTCTTGGTGGTAGGAGACTGTATGCAAAAGATATTGCTTGTGTGCAATGCTCTGTTCTGGGCTGTCTAATGTACATTCTGTATATACTTTGACTGTCAGACATGCTCAGCTTTTAACATTGCATGCAGTGCCTGCAAGTGGACGCATGACTGTACCCTCCCTCCCACGCTCCCTTTAATTATTCAACTCTCCCTGCTTCCCCAACTCCACATGTTTCATTTGCAACTCCTTTTTTTTTTTTTTTAAATAAATTACCTCCCTTGTCCACTCCCTTCCCTGCGCATGCTCTGAGCTGGAGAAATGGTCCAATCACAAGCTTCACTATAAGAAGCCTATGATTGGGCTGAACGAGGCCCCTGCTGACATCAGACAGAGGAGGGAGATCAGTATGACTAATAGGACATTTTAACTTAACTTAAAAAAAAAAAAATACAAATATAAAAGATAACATGTAAAATATGGACTATGGTGAATTGAAAACCCAATTTGTTAAGGGGAGCTACTGCCCAAGCACACATAAATCAATCACTGTTTAGTAGATATCCCCAATGAAAAACAGGCCTGCATTTCATTATGTTTTTGTCATTGGAGGCATATCTAAAAATAGCTTGAAAGAGCTGCATATCTTGTCTTCAGGCTTTAGAAGCCCTCCCCTTCTAACCCCTCCAGACTTTCTGCGTCTGTCCAATCACAGAATTTTCAATACCGATAAATGAGAAGTATTTGCAAGACAGGTGTTCTGGGTAATTTCTGCCTCTTCAATTTAGCACCACTGAGCTTACCAAACCAGGAAGTAACTGGACCAGCTGCTTGATTGAAAACCAAAGGGTGTAACAAACTTAATTTATAAAAGGTCCAATTCCTATTAAAATCTGCACTTTTTGTAAAATGAAAAGAGGACACACTCTTCACACATAAAACATCACATACAAACACACCCCTGTGTTAAAACACAATAACTATATACAAGCACCCTTCAACCACCAACACTGTATATTACACTATAGCACCAGTAAATGCCGCTGCGCTGTACAGATATATAACCTAGAAATTTTGACTTGGGGCGCCTTGGAAAAATACTGAAATATTAAGGGCACCTTGAACCTAAAAAGTTTGGGAACCACTGAGTTAACCCATAAAAGGTAATTATTGCAGTTTCTTAAAATCTGCAATAATTGGCTTTAGATAATTAAGGGACCTGTGACAGTGCACGCAGACCACTTTAATGAGCTGATGTGGGCTGGGTAAAAACCAAAGAAAAAAAAGTTACTTGCGCACTATTTTTAAATCCCCATGCATATTTAAATAAATTAATGTTTTTAGTCCCACAATGGAGTGCAACTAAAAACCTCAATTTATTTAAATATGCATAGGGATTTGGAATAGTGCGCAGGTAACTTTTTTCTTTGGTTTCGATTGTAGGAATTGTGGCTGATATGTACTATGGTCATTGCTGCCCCCGAGGAGTAGTGGGGGTTTGCGCACAGGACTTATTTTTTGTATATTTAAAGTGGTCTGGGTGCCTGTAGTGACCCTTTAATAATATGAGGTTCCTGGTTATTTTATGGTTTCAAGCTAAGCAGATGTGTAATTCACAAACAGCATAGATTATGACATCATGCGCATGTCATAGTCAGGGAGTTCTTTATGTGCCCCTATTTAACCTGGATGAGATAGATAGATAAATAAGCAGCTATAGTGAGAGCTTAATGGCGTATTAACTGTAATACAGGGAAAACATTTCTTTATAGGAAAGCATGAGCAATTAAAGGGCTTGTAGGGTGCATAGTAAGTGCTGTGTAAAGAGACAATCAGGATTTACACAAAACAAGTAAGTAAAACTTAATCTATCTACAATTATACAAAAACAAAGAAAGAAATGGTGTGGTGCAGCCAAGGTGCAATGAGAAGAGAGGTGTATTAAAATTTGTGTACCTATTAACGTTCCATCTGGTTTTCCAGGATTCACATATACATGTCAGATAAATTCTTCTAGCTTTAATCACTTAAAATCACAAAAAGAACACAACATAGTATGAAACCAACAACACCAATAAAATAGGAAAGATAATTGCACTCACAAACGTGGTACCACTAAAAGTGGTCAGTAGGGCATATCACAGTGAAGAAAACTGCTATGTTTACACTGCAGGGTTAATCCAGCCTCCAGCTCATTGAGACAGCCACTAGAGGCCTCTTCAGCGATTTACATGGAGTAAATCGCACTTATTTGACGCTAGACGTCCTCACGGAGTCCAGTGTCAAAAAAATATCCCCACATTAAGTAATGCTTTCCTATGGGCGGATTTAAATGGCCATGCATGCGCATTCGGCTCCACTCGGAAGCCAACGTCGATGGAAGGGGAGAGGTCACCAGTGTGGAGGGAGCCCGGCGCTGGATTAAGGTAAGCAAATAAATGGTTAAATAACCATTTATTCGCCACGGAACAATACATATTTGTATTCCTAACGCTATAGTGTTCCTTTAACAAGTGCAAAACTTTGACTCAGCAGAGTTATTATCAAGCCATGAAGCTACCAAGCTAAGACGAGCATGTGTAAGTAATGGACATTTTACTCTACATTCACCTCTATTGCTCTTTACGTTCTTAAAAACATAAATAAAAATTAAATGCCATTATACTATCTGCATATTTATTTATTTGAGTTCTCTTGGCATCATGTGATGTGTGTTCTATATATATTCTATATAATTATTTAAATAACATGTCATTTTAACATATATTATTTTACACCAAATTCTATTCTTCAGAAACGTAACCGGTTTCCAATAATTCTCAATGTGTGATGTCAAGTAATGGACCTCTGGTGGGTCACTGGTTATATTTATAAAGCAATGATCTCCTGAATGCTGGGACAAACATCATCGTTATTATGGATTTGTTTTAATGAGGAGGTGCTGCATATCTGTACGATACATCATGTGAAGGTCTGAAAACTATCTGCTTGCCTTCTTCGAAATTTATTTGACTGTATATACATCCCATGATCGCTGCTCTGCCTTACTTCTAACAACCTGTTCTTGCATTGCATTCTGACTGTGTTCCCTAAAGCACCCTCTAGTGGTGTGCTCAGAGTATTCAGGGTCTGTATTTTCTTCCAGGACATGTGATTACTAACGTTCAATAATGTTAATAATTCAATTATATATTAACATTCAATAATAATTATTGTGTGTGTGTATATATATATATATATATATATATATATATATATATGCCTATATATTTTTTTGTTTTTTTAGTCCTATCATATCACTGCAATCAAAGTTGCCCTGTGTTTGCAAGCAGCACACATACATCATTTAATGATACACTAGTACCGGTAAGTCACGTGGATATCTCCAGTGGATCCCTTATAATTCCAGAATTAAATGGAAGCAGTTATTCGATTGATGGAATTGCCATTTCACTGGTGATCAAGAAAACCTCAAGCGAGAAGTTAATTATCTATAGATATAAATCAATTTCAATTGGGATATTTAAACAGTTACTGCACTTAAAGAATGGAATTGTGTTGGAACTTAAAGCACCGCTATATAGCAGAACGTGCTATCTCAATGACGTGTTCTGGGGCAGTTGCCTTTTAGTTTTAACCCTTCAATTGAAAACACTGTAGTTTAGTAGATACGCAGTGTTCTCACTCAGGGCCATCTTTAACGGGGCAGCTTCCCCGGGCCCTTATACTTCTAGGGGGCCCAAGGCAGCTGACCGTTGGCCACGCAGCCCTAAAAAACTACCCCAGGTGCTTCGAAACAGGGAGTAGATTTAAAATTGTGAATGTGCCAGTATGTCTGTGTGTGTCAGTATGTCTGACAGTGTATGTGTGTCAGTGTATGTGTCTGTATGCCTGTCAATGGGTATGTCAGTATGCCAGTCAGTGTATGTCTTTGTGTGTGTGTCTGTGTGTCAGTATGCCTGTCAGGGTATGTGTCTGTGTGTGCCAGTATGTCTGTCACTGTTTGTGTCTGCGTATATGTGTGTGTCAGTATGTCTGTCCATGTAAATATGTATTTGAAAGGTGTGATAGCATGCCAGGGAGTGAGGAAGCCCAGGGGGCCCAAGAAAATGCTTTGCCCAGGGTCCTAGTGATATTAACCCCTTAAGGACACATGACGTGTGACGTCATGATTCCCTTTTATTCCAGAAATTTGGTCCTTAAGGGGTTAAAGATGGCCCTGTTCTCACTGTAGAGTTAACACACCACTATTGGCTGTCTTCCTGACAGCAATTAGGGGTGCTTTTCCTGTGAGAACCAAGTCAGACTTGGTTCTCAATCAAATACTGCCCCCAGAGAGCTTGTGATTGGAGCAGCACAGCGATTTGCTATGCATGCGCACTAGCCTCCCAAAGCTTGTCTAGGGGGAAGCATTTGATTAGCTGAGTTCATCAAGATTGATGATCTTCACCAAGGAGACAGGACCAGCAGTGCAGAGACCGATGAAGTAAAACATTTGGGGTGGGGGGTGGTATAGTGTCCTAGAACATAGCTAGTAGGACACAATAGCATTACAGCATGTTTGTATGCCTAACTCTAAAGTGTTCCTTTCATCTCTCCATCAAGTAGGTGACTGGACGTGCCCACCAAATGAGAATCAGTGAGCATACACCGGATAGGGGAACATTTTGTGAAGGCCTAAGGCCTCCCCATCACATAAGGATCTTCTCATTGATTTGTCATCAGTGGCAGCCAAGCCAATGTTTCCCAACAGGAGAGCAGATCAGTGGAAGGGACAAGATAGGCATTCGGTGACAGAACATTGGTATTAAACCATTCAGTAACAGTTTAACACTGAAAAGTAAGATGATGCCTGTGTACATCAGGCCCCAAAGCGACATAATTAAGATGTTTTGCTTTTTATGAGGGCAGGACTTTAAATTCTAGTGCAGTGAATGGCCTCTTTCTTTATGGTTTTTAATTGGGGTAAGCATGTGTTTAAGCTGTAGGTACCAGGAATGATGAAAAGGGGTAGCCTTTTTCTCCCTCAAGATCAATTTACAGGATTCTATATTCCCTCTAGAAATTGGGAAATACTGGGATAGTGCGACAATTTGGGTTGTCAAACATTGCAAGTTTTTTTTAAAGTTCTTTATTTTATTTGTGCATAGGTTAAACAGGCAGGTTTGCACTGCCACAACAGCTGGTGCAAACTGATCATCAGACATAGTATAACAGTTGTGTGGCATCGATAACATTGCACATTTTTTGTTAATGTGAGGGAGCTTATTCTCGGCATCCGTCATCTTGGGGGTACGTTAACGGTAATATTGCTCTCTGTGGTACCACCAGGGCTTAGCAGTAGATCATGGGTGCCGACTGGGATCATCCCTACCAGTCTTAAGGGGGGCAGCAGGTTGTCAGGAACATGCTTGGAGCCCCGCTTGCTCCGGTCTGGGAGAGCAGCCACCTCCCCTTTCCTCAGCGCCCACTAGGCCTCACTGGAAATTGGCATCTAAATCGATTTAGAAGATCGAGGGATGTGTTCCCAGATCGGTCTGTCAGTTCATGAGGCTGTTAGTAAGTAGCACGCTTAGGAAGTATTGCTGAGTCAGCACAATTTGTCAGATTATACAGCAAGTCCCTTCGAGTGGGGTTACAGGTGACCAGTAAGTGAGGAGATGGGTAAGGAGATACTGTTTTTTGCGCAAAGTAGGCCCGTCAGTGTTCGTGTGCGAGATGCTAGCGTCTATAAGTGGCACCCTGTGGTGTTCTGGCTTTGGGTGATTAGGTGGGTACTGTCTTATGTGTTATACCTGGGCTGCCCCACTTCTATCGTGTCCCTGGGTTGTCGTTTTACGCTGGAGGTCTCTCTGACAGTGAGTGTCAGTATCTTGGTGGGGTATGCAGGGACTGGGTCTGTCCTCTTGTTGGAATGGTAGCATCTCACTGTTTGGAGTGCGTCTGTGTTCTAGGGAGGTGAGGGGGGATTTAAGGGGAGGATGTCGCGGGAGGAGGATGAGAGGCCCAGGGTGGTCCCAGTTTCTAGACGAGGTGGCTATGTTGGCTCCTTGGGCTATCCCAGGTGTTTGCTGGGTGTTAAAGTTGTAAGGATGAGGTCTATGCTGTGCCCCTTGCTATGTAAGTTCTCCAGGGGTACCACGTTAGGGCACATTTGTCTTAGCGTTTCCGAAATGAGGCAGTCATCATCTCCATGTCATAGATGTTTTCCACCTTATCTACCCATTATTGGTAACTGGGCACTGTCTGGTGTTTCCAATGGAGGGGGACAAGGGCTTTAGCTGCGGTGAGTAGGTGTATGGTGATGGATTTTTTGTATGGGTGTGTGGTGCAGGAGCATTGGCAGGGGCTGCAGTGGGAGGTCTGATCCTGTGATATCCCTGATCTTTGTGTTGACCATCTGCCAAAATGATGCGATCCGAGGGCATGCCCACCAGATGTGTAGACTGGTCCCTACCGCTGTGTCGCATCTCCAGTAACTTATAGCTCGTTTCCTTGAATATTGAGCATTTGTGAGTTAGGAGGAATATTTTGTCCCATTCGTGATCAGTCAGTTGTGTCCCGGTCTCCCTCTCCCATTTATCTGTGAATCCTAATGGACGGCCGTCCCCAGCCGTCAGGAGTGTTGTGTATGATGTGATACACCATGTTCCATGTGTTGTTTGGTAGTGCATAGGTGCTCGAATTGCGTCAGTTGTCTGTGGAGGTGGTCTTTACCTCTCGGGTTTGTGTGGTAAGTTTTCACTTGATGGTAATGGAATATGTCCAGTTGGGTGGGTTGTTGGTCTGCAAGTAGGTTTGCTAGTGGCCGAAGTGCTCCATTGGAGCTCCATTGTTGCATGTACAGTCAGTCTGTTTTCTGGAAATTTTTAAAGGCTGCTGGGGGGTAGGCCTTCTGCTAAGTCCAGGTTATGCCTGATCGGGGTGAGCGGGTTCAGGGAGGTGGTGAGTTGGCAGGCAAATCTTAGGCTGCACCAGACCTTGAGGGTGGCGTCTATCATAGGATTGTGCGGCCGGAGCTCCACATTGGTGATCCTACTGAGCCAAAGTCTGGCGGGGACTGCACCCTGGGTTTGCTGCATAGCCACCCATGTTTTTGTGCTCGTGTGTGTGTGCGTGCCAGTCCACAATATTTCAGATTATAGTAGAATGTTTCTCATCATAGAACAATGGGACAAACTAAAAGGTATTGGTATGTTTAAGGATGACTGTCCTAAAGCAACTAAGGACTTCTTATATTGTTTGAGATATATTGAAAGTAGAATGTTAGGTACAAAGAGGGCACAGAGCACCAGCAAATGCATATAGCTATACGATCGTAAAACAAAAAAAACAAAAAAAGGGGGGAGAAATGAGGACTGTAGAGGTAACTCTTCTTACCCCTAATCCCTCCCACACTCTACATTTTCCTAGTCAGCCCAGGACACCAGGTCACAACCTAACTACAGTGATCAAACTTTTTGAAAAGACAAGACCATTCCCTAAATCTAGCCTTGAGATTGTTCAACAAACATATAAATCTCAGCTTGTGAAGTACCACTGGCTTTGTGGCAAGTTCCAGATGCCAACGTCCTTCTGCCACTCCGAGCAGCCATGGTGAATTTAGCATGATATTTGGTGTGATGAGAAGAGTGCCCCTTCTCTACACACAGGATTGTTTTTTTTTTTTAAAGCTACATAGTACTGGTATTTGTGGGGATTAACAATTGGTAGAACAATCTCAAGTATGGGTGAGCTGTAACACACATAATTTAATGGATTTCAGTCTAATTCTATTTTAAAATGTTAATGCAGTAGTGATGGGTAGGCTCTATAATTTCTCAACACTTTGAAGGATTTTTATTTTCAGCAACAATTATTTTCTAAGCTGTAAGAATCCTTGATACAGTTTGACAGATTAAGGCCGTCTATTAAATGCAGTCATTCCTCTACGATTCCTCCATGAAAAATGAGGTTTGCAGGGACACAAGTCGGTTTTCCGATTATCTTGCAGGCAGCTAAAGAGTAAAATATATTAAAATATGCCAATTCTTAGTGCAGCAGTATCCTTTTACGGACAATTGTGGAACCCTCTGATAAATAATATTGCGTTTAAAACATTTATGTGTTCTTGCTCTATTGAAATCTACCTTTCAACACCTCTCTGCTATAAATTACCCATAGTCTGCTATCTTCCCAAAACATTTAAATACATATTACATCTAGTTTGGTATCCTCTTAACATCAAACTATTATTTGAAAGTTTACTTACTGGGCCTATTTACACGTTAATGGTGTTGGTGATGAAACACATTTAATTTATTTTCTATTACCTGAGCGTTGAAGGTGCCCATAGCTATATTGAGCAGTCAGTGAGAATCTGATGTTATAGGACTGACCTGATTAAGTTCTCCCTAAGAAATGCACAAGATAAGGAGAGACAAAATGTGTATTTTAAATCAATTTTGATCTTCTACAATGTAGGACAGATCCAGAATCAGAGCAGCTGTGTCAACAGCTACCTGTAATCCGTTACATTTTGCAGAGAAACAGTCCAAAATCAGCTGGTCTGCTGCAGTGGGCAGTATGTTTTGACTGGTCTGTGGATTAAACGGCTCATACTGGCTTCCCACCACGTTCCACTTCAAACTGTCTCTTGACCGGTGTATACCACAGCCACAGTTATGGTCAATTTCTGAACTACCACTGGGAGGAACAGACCATAAATGGGCATCTTGCAAATCAATCATCATTTCTCCACCTTTGTGTTCAAAACTTCGGGCTACAGATTCTAATGAAGCGCAAAAACAATTGGACACCAGCTGGTATTCGGATGCTGAACATTTCAGTTCTTTCAGACAACTGCTCTGGATGTTGGCACTCTGAAACATAGAAAACAAATTCCTTGGTATGGCTGAATTTGTCAAGGACAAACATTAGCATGACATTTTTACTGTAGAAGTATTTGAAATGTAAACAGCAATTCTGAATACTTAGAAACATAGAATGTGACGGCAGATAAGAACCATTCGGCCCATCTAGTCTGCCCAATTTTCTAAATACTTTCATTAGTCCCTGATCTTATCTAATATGTAGGATAGTCTTATGTCTATCCCACACATGCTCAAACTCCTTTACCGTGTTAACCTATACCACATCTTTTACTATTTAAAATATTTTTGTATTTTTTTTTTTTTTTAAAGTGATCTAGATAGAATAGCTGGTTTGGAGACAATCATTTCATACTTAGTAGGGTTGAGGTTGCAGTGAGAGGGCATACAGAGGATACATGGCCACTTGATATGTGAACTGTGCACCCAGATTCTGGTTGGAGGACTGTATGGGCCCATCAGGAAATGCATATATTTTCTTAGTGATGACACGTACAGATATGGACTAATTCTAGAAGATTTTGCAGCTCACTTTAAAAGAAACTGACGACTTTCATAACCTACTTACCTTATACCGGATGAATGCAGCCAAATGCGTTTCAGTGCAGCCACCACCAAGTAATACCCATGGCTTTTTTAGAGTAAGCAGTAAGATGTGCTGTGCAGCCTGACAGGTAGTCTGTAACGAAAGAAAGTCCCATAATTGCTATACCCAACGGATGCATAATTCACTGTGATAAAAGAACAGGATCTCAATAGATAAACTCATAGAACATTTTGTACCTTTGTTCAGACTTTGACAGGACATTCCTTAGCCTTGCCTGTTCTACTGTCTGCACAGATCATACTAACTAACATAGTCTTAATAAAAATATGCATGGTTTTCACACCACACTGGTCTAACATTATACATTTACATGCTTTAACCCGTTAAGGACACATGACATGTGTGACATGTCATGATTCCCTCTTATTCCAGAAGTTTGGTCCTTAAGGGGTTAAGGATTCATCATTAAGTTTAAATTAATTTTAGGATCCCCATGTCAGTAGCTGAAATTATTCTTGTTCTCGAACTCTCACACAGCTGGTCTGATAAGCTCTATTCTAGGGTCCACTGCCTTCAGCCTTCTTAGCACCAAGATCTCTTACACCATTAGTTTCACAAGCCTCTAACCTGGAGACTCTTTAGGTCTCTTATGATCAGTGGTTCCTACCCTTGTACTCCACATCTTTTACGATCAGACAACTCAATCCTTGACCCCACATGTCCGTAGGTCTCTAACCCTCAATGGCAAAATCATTTATCCTCAGTATCCTGGTTCCTTACCTAAAGTTTCTAACTCCACATGCCTCTAACAATTTATCTTACTGCCTAGGAATTTCCTACTCAGCCCTCTGCATGCTTTACTTTGTGTTCAATAAAATTGGATACGGCATTAAAAAATATTTCAAAATGTTTTATCCTGGAGCAGTTTTGTTTTTTTTAATTATATTTTTATGAATAAACTGAAAAAATGTTGCCTTGTATTTTTTATCTTTAGCTCAATAAGCTATTTGAAGGGGTACTGTTGCAAACTAGAAGATATCTATTGTAACCCTACATATATCATAAAGAAAGCATACCTTTCCCTCTGTCTTATTAATTTGACTTGTAACAACCTTCATCCAAAATGGTTTTCTGGTGCAAGCTACGTTGTTGTTTAAAGGACCACTAATGTTATCCAGACATCATCAACTCAATGAAATAGTCTGGGTGCAGCAGTCCTGTCATTTTAAGCCTGCAATGTAATACATTGTAATTTTGTTGAAACAAAGGTTTACATGGAAGGGTTAAATGCACCTCTAGTGCCTGTCTTCCAGTTAAACTCACTGTGCGATCAGATGTGTTTTGCCATGTGCATAACCTCCCAATGTATCCCTATGGGGAAACATTGGATTGGCTGAGATTATCAACTGCGACATCAGCAAGGGAGTATAGGTAAGAGGGGTGTGGCCTACTATAGGTAGAGGAACACAAGGTTGTATTCCGAACACTTCAGTGTTCCTTCAATGTTTCTTGTGATTTGCCCCACGATTGTAGAATGTTTTCCTATTGTTTATATATAGAACAGGGGACATTTGCGATGGCTGCTTCAAGGTATTTGAGATTGTATTGTACTGGTTATACTGTTGGGATTCTGTGTGCGCAGTATATGTCAGAGGATGCTCAATCCATTTGACACTTCCTACTTTTAGTCTTGTGTGTCAGGCAGTAAGGGGTTCCTACCTGTTCTCACTGGTCCCATTCTTAAGGTAGTAGTGGAAGAGTTTATAGTGCGCATAAGCATAGTCCCCCCCCACCCCCTTGACCCAATATCTTTCAAAAGCAGGAAAAGAACCCAAACCTTTATGGGTTTGTATTTGTATTTACAAGTAAGCCTCAGGGAGAGAAAATATCCTTTGTTCTCTTTTAAAAAGTTAAGGGAGTTAACTTTGGCTGGAATGACATTCGGGAGTGAAGCCAAATCTTGTTAATACCCAATTCTTACAATCAATCATTGCACAGCGTGAGAATCAAAGGAGGGTTCAAACACACTGGAAGAGGAAACCTACTCATTTTGATGTCACAAACTAATGGGTGGGTATTGGGCAATTCTCAGCATTGTTTGACAAAATCCTTGATGTCTGTCTGACATATACTGCGCACACAGAATCCCAACAGTATAACCAGTACAATAAAATGGATTGATTTGGGGGCTCAAAGTGTCCCTTAAAGGGAGTTCAGTGGCCGAGACACTTCCTGGTTTAGGCAGCACTCACAGCAGACGTTGCATTGCCTGGGCGATTTGCAGCAATTCAGTTGTGTGGATATCACTTTTTATTATTTTTAATTTATTGATTTTGCATTAATTTTATGCATTATCTATATGATGAATGTAATAGTTCAAATTTACCCATTCATGATCCCTTGAGCAGCAGATTTTTCTATGCATTTCAAAACAAAGTAGAACTGCCGTTTCTAATCTGCTACTAGAAACTTCTGCTTACCATAAGCTCTTTTAATGAAGTTTCATTTCGATTGCAAAGCACAAAGCTGCTCACGGAGGTGTCAAAAGGAATAAAATGTAAATAGTGATGGGATCCATAGGACATTCTGCGGAATTCCCTGAGGCGGCCACAACAAGTCGAAGAAACCACACTTAGAGAAGCTATGGGCTTTGCTCCTGCAATAAGAAAACAAACAAATTAGAATTCTAAACTAAAAGGAGACTTTGCTTCACATGATGCTATGTTAGATAATGTAAAGAGATACTATCAAAGATCATATATTATCGACTATTAAAAACAGCCTTACTGGAGCAATTCTAGCAATGTTACGGTTCCAAAACCAAAAATCTCAATATGTATTATATTGGGCCTGGAATTTTAAAAGTGGCCCCAAACGGACACATAAGCATATAATTTCAAAACCAGGCATCAGGGTATTAACGGAGGGGCATTTTAACACATTCACCAATCTGAGACAAAATCTTTACCAATATTGTGTTTTTCATACTACATTCACACGATGAGCGTGATGTGTGCTACTGCAATATAAATAATTGCATCCAAATGGCTATTCAACAATACTCTGACAAGGGTAAAGGAATGGCCCCCATATTGCCCACTGGGGGACTGCTGCAGCTTTTTAATATTTGGACATTCGATGGTGGGCTCAGGCCTCAAATGCTGATCCTTTGCAAATTATATGTTGGAAGGAGTATATTTTGCAAAAGTAGAAACCCCAAGGTATTTTCAAAAAAGCCTTTATTTCCCCCCCAACTACAATAAAACTGTTAGACTTGGACTAGATAAAGTGCAAATACACACAAACAAAAGTTAATATCTTCCTACTCCAAGCCTTATGGTCACAGAGGCAAAAAACTGAATGCATATCGTGAAGTCTTCCTCACTACCTTGTGCATGAAAGCTGTGGGCAATGTAAAGGCACAATGGCAGTGCTTCTAAATAGGGACACCTATTTTCTTTCAAATGTTGTGCCTGCTTTAGTATAGCTGACCTTGTCATTTCATGTTCATTTTCTTAGCCTGTTCTTACACATGGGGGACATCAAATCTGTATCAATATTTTTTATATTTCTGTATAAATACCATTCTGAGTTATCTTAGAATTCTGTCACAGAAAATACAATTACAATGCTGTATAATGTATTCACCTTAACCCCTTAAGGACACGACATGTGTGACATGTCATGATTCCCTTTTATTCCAGAAGTTTGGTCCTTAAGGGGTTAAGTAGCAATATTCGTTTTCTATGCTTGAGTCTCTTTTTCAGCAGTAATGACTTGTGGGAGTACATTTAGAGTAATTCTAGAGCAGGGGTAGACAATCCAGATGTTGTAGACTACATCTACCTTGATACTTTGCCAGCATTGTGGGAGATGAAGTCCCAAAGGTTGCCTACCCCTGTTCTAGAGCATCTAGACTCTAAGAACCTTCCTGCCAGCTGTCATTTTTATCCAAATTAGGATAGCAAGCTTAACCAGTGAGTATTATACACATCTGGGCAATATTGATATTGCTTTTTTGTTAATGTAACATCAATATTAGCAAATGAAGAGCTAGGCCACACATGAATGGGAGAGAGCCCCTTTAATGGATAATTCCTTTGTGTTTAGGGACACTAGTTGTTGCATGCATAAATACGACTCACTAATAATAGAAGAGAGCAATTAAAAAAATAAAATAAAAATCAGTTTGGTTTCTTTGAAACACTTGAGAAATTTTAAAAGATACACTTTGCTGTACCTGACATCTGGCTTAAAGTGTCCATTGGAGCGGCACCCAATCTGTCCAGAACAAGGACATTCTTTTCCTTAAGGTACTGCTTGACGGAAGGATGAATCACTTTTTGACACACAACGCAGTTTACGTGGTCTTCCACCAACTGTTTAGCCAACATGAATAGATGATCCAGCATAGCGCGTTCTGTATTGACACCACTCAGCAACTCCACCGTTCCTTCACCAGTATCACAAAAATCTCCAGATAAGGAGACTGAAAACAAGGCCAATTTAATGGGTGATCCATTGAAGTCTACAGATCTATTCCAACTTAACTCATGCATTTTGATAAGAAGGCCGGGCACTATAGAAGACTCTGTAACACTTAGACCTTCTACAGGGACAAAAACACATTTGCCTAGTTTAACGCTGGATCCCGTCTCATTTGGAATTGTTAAAAGGAAAGCCTTTACTAGCAATGTGCTGATAAAGTCGGCTTCCCGGTAAGTAAGCATGCACGCCGGCTTGCTAGAAAGCACAGAACCTGTTAAGCGAAGCAGGAACGTACTGCTACTAAAGTCTGCAGCCATTTTGCACCCACAATGTTCAGAGTTCACATAATCAATACATGTGGCCAAGAGACTTCTGGTTATTGCAACTATAGTGTGAGGGGAGATATTTAGGTCCAAGAACCTGTCAGTAAGACTGCAACAAAGGTTTGCTGCAAAAAGGCCACAGTCGCTGAAACAGGATATATGGCTGCGAACAGAAGCTACTAATAGCTTCAAGACCGGATGGCGCAGAGAAATGCTAGCAAGTAAGGTGGAGGACTGAGATGTTGTCACCACACACCCTCCGGTACCATTGTGCACCTGTTTTAGTCTACCAGATGGGCCATAGCATGAACGTACAATCCCATGTAAAACACGGAGGGGTTCCTGGATTGATTTGCTACTTAATGGACCGGCCGTACACATGGACTGCTTTTTAGGTTCAAATCTTGACATGGTGCGGTTTAAGCAAATTTATCCAGGCTGTGTTTTTTTTTTATTTTATTTTATTGTGATCAAACCAATAATATAGACATTGACAACTAGATCACAAAAGACGGTGGGTTGATTTAGACAAATCTTTCACGAGGAGATGAAAACTTCATTGATTGTTTTTAGAATCTTTCAGCTCCAAGCTTGACTTAGCAGAACTCTTTGCCATTCTTTGAATAAAATACGTCCCAAAGTGAATCCCTAAAAAAGATAGTCCAGCTACTAACAGCCAATTTTTTCTGAGCCATGTTCTATTTTTCATGGTTACTTCTTGGTAGGAAAAATATCAGCACTCGCAATCTGTAAATACACAGAACACAGTTATGAGCACATTATATTTAAATATTTCTGGAACACAAGTAAACCATCTTTCTGCCTCTCGCCCAGCCCCCAAACTGCAGCATTTCCCTTTGTTCTCAACACATTACTGCTATACATATGAGGTCATGACTTATGTTTCTAGGTGGTGCAGTTGATAGCATTTTACAGTAAAAAGACAACTGAACTTCAACAAACTTTTGCATTCCTCATAAAATTACTGATCAAAGGATAAGCTCTGCAGTCCTATCATTACAATGAGTAGCTGGTTGACTTCCTGCAAAGACACCAGTTTTGAAGCAAAGGCAGCCATTTCAAATATGAATTATGAATTCTTTAAAATGTAAATGCTAATATAATACATTAATGTATTCTCTATAGCCCAAAGAAGATGGAGTCACCCCCACTCTACCCCCTCACCCCCTAAAAAACAACAACAAAAACCTACAAAGCACAGCGAGTGTACTTCAGACTAGAGTGGCATGTTTCTTTAAACAATCCATGTTTTACATACGCTGTGGGGATCACATCGCCTGATCAGTTACATACTTCCTGAATTACAATGTGAATCATTATCAGCAAACATGGACTGGAAATGATGGAATTGTAGCTTAGCAATGACCGGACAAGCACAGATAAGGCTTAACAAAAGAAACTTACTCACGATATACAAGCGGTTAACATGCTCACAGAGCAAATTACAGGAACAAAATAAATAATAATGTTTTAATACGCATTGTGTGTATACCAAAACCTTCCTGATCCTTGCAATGCAGGGTTATCAGAGTGTTGGTGTCCATGAAAGATTAGCAAGACTGTCCCTTTATCATGGAACATGCTAATAGATTTCGGCCAATCAACATTCACCAAATACAGACACTTCTGCACACCGTACAATTTCCATGTAGGCACACAAAAAAAAAAAATATGAATTTTACATTTATATTTTTTTAGAACATCGACCTGTGACAAAAGAATAAAAAAAAAAATAAAAAAATTGGATGAAGGTATTTTCACAAAGTGCTTATTTAACCCCTTAAAGGACCACTATAGTGCCAGGAAAACATACTCGTTTTCCTGGCACTATAGTGCCCTGAGGGTGCCCCCACCCTCAGGGACCCCCTCCCGCCCGGCTCTGGAAGGGGGAAAGGGGTAAAAACTTACCTTTTTCCAGCGCAGGGCGGAGAGCTCTCCTCCTCCGTTCTGCCCCGTCGGCTGGCTGCGCGCGCAGCCGGTCGTATAGGAAAGCATTCATAATGCTTTCCTATGGACGCTGGCGTGCTCTCAATGTGAAAATCACAGTGAGAAGCACGCAAGCGCCTCTAGTGGCTGTCAATGAGACAGCCACTAGAGGCTTTGGGGGAAGGCTTAACCCTATTATAAACATAGCAGTTTCTCTGAAACTGCTATGTTTATAAAAAAAAAATGGGTTAGCCCTAGAAGGACCTGGCACCCAGACCACTTCATTAAGCTGAAGTGGTCTGGGTGCCTAGAGTGGTCCTTTAAGGACACGACGTGTGACATGTCATGATTCCTTTTTATTCCAGAAGTTTGGTCCTTAAGGGTTAAACACGTTACGTTCCTATCTGGTCACCACCAATCCTTAAACTAAGCTCCTTAGAGGGCACTGTCACAACATCTCTACATTTAGAGCTGTAAGCCTTTATTCCACCACTCATATGTCACAGGAGGATGTTATGGTTCTTGTATGACATGGTTGTGCCCTCCTCGACTGTGTGTCTCCTCTGATAAGAAAACTATGAACAGGGCTATATGTCAAGGCAATAGAGGCCCAGAGATGATTTACTTGATGTAACATACACCGTAGGTTACATTCATGTCTTTTCATGAACAAATCTGATGCTGACTGTAGACACCTAGTTTTGCCAAGATGTTTCAGCCATTTCTTAGTTTAGAATTCTCACTCCAGAAGCTCCAAATCATGAGGATTTGCAGATAAAAGCAGAAAGTTTTTCATTTTAGTAGTGTGTCATTATAGCATTAGGAGTACACATTTGCATTCCTAACAACAGTGTTTCTTTAATTGAATTTTATTTGCAGAATTAATACAATACATAACTGCAGTCAACTGAAGCCTGAAGTGTGTTAAGGCATAAGAAAATTCTCAGTGGAACATAAAAAGGCGAGTACTGAAACATACCTAAAAAAACTATTTAGTAGATCACTATTTCACTTTTGTTGCTCTTTCACTGTCCAGAACATGTCCAACAATGCCTGGTACTGGAACAACATCTTCACGTTCTGGGTGGAAGATCGGACTCGACTTCATGTTATACCAACCCCAATGTACCAGTCCAAGACCCGTTCCCATTACAATCAACACTTTGTAGTTCTTCCATAAGTTCTTTAGCCCCATACTTCTGATGCCAATCTATCAAAAGAGAAAGAATGCCTTAAAATCACAATAAAAAAAATAAAAATCCTAATACTCTACAAACTCTGAAACACTACAGAAACTATATTATCCTAGGTTTCTATCCCCCTTCTTATAGATTTACAGTATAAATTAACACTAGCATCAGAAACACCCTAGTGTCCTAGTCACCGTTTAAGAGAGAGGATCCCCCGCTGCTGTTTAAAAAATAAAAATCTTCTCCCTCGAAGCACTGGTCCCCTTGTAGAATTTCCTTCTCTTTGGCTGAGATCTTCACGTTCGATGATCTCAGCCAATCCAATGCTTTCCCACAGGAAAGCATTAAGAGTCTAGTGTGCATGCACGGCAAAACAGTTTAATCTGATAGAAACATTTAGTTTTACTCCAGTATTACATGAAAGCACTTCTAGAGGCTGTATGGCAATCGTCAAAATGGCAATGTTTTCAGCTGCACGGATAAAACTGGTGGCACATGGCATTCCCTTAAACAGTAATTACATGGGCTTAAAAGGCTTATATTACTTGCCAGAATCTCTCAGCAGCATACATCTAATGCACCAATATCTTACAGGAGAAATAGAAGGCCAAGCTACTTTCTGTTAGATGAAATAGATTTAGCTCAAATATTTCCATTATACTGCAATCAATATGCAAATAATTGTAATACATGCAGAAATTGGCGAATTTCAATCTCACAAGCTGTGCAAATTACACAATGCACAGTCCGGCTTCTTCGCATTGTGCTCCAAATTCCACTGATTAAAGGAGTATGAAATGGGATAAAGCAGTACAAAAGCTTGCTGTTCCTTTGATGCAATAAAACATTGGAAGTGCTAATAGAACAGTTGGACTCACCATAGCAACACAAACTAACCACCAATTACTAGTCACAATAATTGGAGCAACCCATTAAAAACATGCTGCATAGCTAAACTGTTCTCATCCACTAAACAGTGAGTGCTGGCTCCTAGAGACATGCAGATCATCTGAATAGGAGGTTTGTACTGTTACAATTAACAGATTGCACAAAGCACATAACATACAAAACTGTGTTCTCTGTAGAACATATATACAAACATATAATCTTGGTGATTTTTAGAGGAACACTCAGTACACAAAAAGGAGGCAGTATACGAAATACAAGGCACATTTTTAAATACACGTTTTTAGTACCACTGTAATGATCATTAAAGCATAAGGTCACCTGCCAACTCAAGAAGAGAGCCATTCCAATGACAAATGAGATCTGTGTTTATGGCTATTACAGTGATACTAAAGACGTTTTAGTTAAAATATACAGTCTAATCACTACTGTGTACTGTAGGGGTTATAGTCCCAGGACACATACTAGGGACTCTTAAGCACCTGTACTCCAGACTATTCAGAAACGGGGAAAACAGATCTCTTGAATGTGTATTCAGGTAATACTCATCCAATTAATTCAGTCCAAACATTGGAGTAATTGACATCACTTATGTTGTAGGAACTTCAAGAAGAGGAACCAAACTAGGTGCCCAGGAGTCCCAGGTAAGTGTCAAACTGTTTGAAAATGGTTTGAATCTTACCTACAGGATGGCACTAGGGGATTCATGTCACCAAAACCGCTACAGAATATAGTTGTTATGGTACTTTTTCTATGGTTTCAAAATGTAAATAGGGATCTGGGATAGCAGACCGGAAACTACTTTGGTTTTGTTAAAGGGACACTGTAGACACCCAGACCATGTAAGCTCATTGAAGTAGTCTGGGTGCTGTGACCCTTTTGCACTTAGTGCTGTAATGTAAAACATTGCAGTTCCAGAGATTGTTTACATTGCAGCTCTAAGTCTGCCCTCTGGGGCTGTCTAACAAATAGCCACTAGAGGGCTCCCGGAATCCAAACTGACTTTTGGTCCGTTATCTGACGCTGGACGTCCTCACGGACCTCCAGCTTCAGACAGGAAAGCATTGAATAAAGTTTTCCTATGGGGAGGTCTAATGCGCGTGGCCATTGCCGCACATGCGCATTATGTCGGTGAGGGAGGAGCCTGACCCAGCACTGAAGGACATCGGCGCTGGATTCAGGTAAGTAGCTGAAGGGGTT